ATTCCCTGTGTCTACTGTGTCTTTGTAATAATTGTGGTCACTCACTATTACAATTTGCAGCCCTTCAGACCAAAGAGTGCAGGATATTATTTGAAGAATTAAATGGAGTTGATTGAATGGAATTTAATTACATAAAGTTGTCCTAAGCCAATCTCCTTTTCGTAAATAGATGCTCGCTTACTTTCCTCTCTTTTATCAATACTCATAGTCTCCACTTTGTATTCGAAAAACTCGATGAAAGCGGCCAATTCTTCATGATCAGCATCTTCACTTACCTCCCTGCATCAACTCTCAGCGCCCCGACTCGATTCGAAATTCGCGAAAAATTAAAGTCGATGAAACCGATTTTTTACTCATAAGCAGAGCTCTAATTTACCCTCCTTGCCGAATCCCAGCCCTTCAGCTCAAAGTTTGCAAAAAAATGATTTAACAAAGGCGATTTTTTAAACATAATCAGCACTTACTACTTGGACGATGGAAGGCATTAGAAATCGAAGAACTTTTTAGCGGACCGCTAATAAGGAATCTTTATCGGACGAAAAAGGTGCCTTGATTGTAATGTGTCACTTTTTCCTTCAGACGCCAATGTCTACTAGATTATTTGGATAGTTTACCGCAGGTGAATCATTACGTTTTCTTCTTCTAGCCTCAGATAAAACATAAGATAGTAAGATTACATGTGCATTGAGTAGACTTCGCATTTTCAACAGAATTTAAAAAAAATGCCTCAGATATTTGCCACCTGAACTATTGCGATCTTGACAACTCAGCAGTTGGCTCTGCACCAAACTTGAATATTTCGAATACGAGTTTCATTCGTACAAATCGAGACCTCGTTTTTTGATCGACTTTTCGAGTTTTAAACGAAACCCAATTTATTGAATACTCGAGTTTTCGAGTTTGATTCTATGAATGTTGCGGAAGTTCTTTCTTACCATTTCAAATTATCGTAACTTCTCTTTCTTACAATAATCTTGCACAACAAAAATAATGTTAGAAAGAGCAAAACTTGTACTTTCTAAGTGCACTCACGTGCTGTTTATCAAGGTTGGTTGGAGAGATGAAATTGGGAAAGCAGCTCGTTAAAAAATTCAAAACTGTGCCATAAAAATCAAACAAGCAGCTGATCAAACCTTTTTATTTTATGATTTTTGAAAGATGCCAAAAGTCTTTTGCTTTAAAAAATTGACTTTCTGACCTTTTTTCTGAAATAACTACTTTCAAAGAACAGCTCGATCTGCAAATATTTTGCTCACCTAGAACGAGGGGATCAAAAAACTGGGATACTGCCTAATGATTTTAGGGCAAAATTTTGAATTTTTTTAACGGGCTTGCCTCGAAATTCCAAAACGCAAGTGATTTTCTTTCTCCAATTTTATCTCTGCATGCAAAGCTTACAAGGGAACCGTGTCGAGTCGAAGTGGCCTTTCCAGATGGGACCCATACTGCTTTGAAGAGCATTAATCGGTGATTGCAAATCTGCTTTCCAAATCTGCCAAGCGCCTCTGGACGCCGAGTTATGCTCGTTTTTCAGGTCAAAAAATTGAACGCAAAACTGAAGCAAAATCGCCCAAATTTGCTCAAATGAACTAATGTCGAGTATCAGAGCTGTTTATGCAATGGATGCATTTTATTTATTATGCTAATACTTAACATTGCTTTATCTGAGCGCTGGAAAGATTGTAACAATCAATCTTATATATAAAGCTGAATGTCTGTTTGTCTGTCTGTATGTCTGTCTGTCTGTATGTACGTATGTTCCGAATAGAAAATTCCATTTCTGAACCGATCCGGACCAAACTTGGCACACATACACTACGGGCCCCGGCGGGTGTCATAGGCTACTTTTCGTCATCGATCGATATCGATTTTATCGATTTTTATCGATTTTTTTGCTGAGTTCACCTACGGGGCTGGGAGTTGGCATAGGGGGGTAATCGAGCATGGGGATTCCGAATACAATATTGGTTTTCAGGATTATCGATTACTTTTATCGATTTTATCGATTTTTTTGCAAAGTTTGAGCTACGGGGCTGGGAGTTCGCACAGGGGGGTAATCGAGCATGGCGATTCCGAATACAATATTGGTTTTCAGGATTATCGATTACTTTTATCGATTTTATCGATTTTTTTGCAAAGTTTGAGCTACGGGGCTGGGAGTTCGCACAGGGGGGTAATCGAGCATGGGGATTCCGAATACGATATTGGTTTTCGGGATTATCGATTACTATTATCGATTTTATCGATTTTTTGCAAAGTTTGAGCTAGGGGGCTGGGAGTTGGCACAGGGGGGTAATCGAGCATGCTGATCACCCCCAAGGGGGGTGATCAGCATGCTCGATTACACCCCTTGCCAAATTCCAGCCCCCTAGCTCAAATTTTCAAAAAATCGATAAAATCGATAAAAGTAATGGACGATCCTGAAAACTAATATTGTGTTCGTAATCTGCATGCTCGATTACCCCCCTGTGCAAACTCCCAGCCCCGCAGGTCAAACTTTACAAAAAATCGATAAAATTGATAAAAGTAATGGACGATACTGAAAACTAATATTGTGTTCGTAATCAGCATGCTCGATTACCCCCTGTGCAAACTCCCAGCCCCGCAGGTCAAACTTTACAAAAAAAAATCGATAAAATCGATAAAAGTAATGGACGATCCTGAAAACTAATATTGTATTCGGAATCCCCATGCTCACTTCCCCCCCCCCCCCCCCTGTGCCAACTCCTAGCCCTGTAGGTGAACTCTGCAAAAAAATCGATGAAAATCGGTAAAATCGACATCGATCGATAACGAAAAGTGGACTGTGACACCCGCCGGGGCCCGAAGTGTATGTGTGCCAAGTTTGGTCCGGATACGGCGGAGCCGGGTAAGCCAGCTAGTTTTACATAAATTCTGCATTCATTTTTCGTTCCGAAGAACGGTCATAACTCGGCGTCCAGAGGCGCTTGGCAGATTTGGAAGGCAGATTTGGAATCACCGCTTAATATTCTTCAAAGCAGTATGGGTCTCATCTGGAAAGGCCACTTCGACTCAACACGGTTCCCTTGTTAGTAAAGGGCAAGCAAATGCCCCTACACAGTACGCCCTTTGCTCTTGCTAATATTACTTTTGCTGCAAGACTATTTTAAGAGAAAGAAGTTACGATTTTCTAAAAAGAGTGCGAATGCACAGTATTTTAATAAACTACACTGGCCTATCTGAGCGGTTTCGAATAACTTTGCTCTAGTTGAGCTTTTTTTGACACAAAAACGTCCATAACTCGACATCCAAAGGCGCAAAGCAGGAATCAAAGGCAGGGTTGGGATCAGCGTTTAACGCTTTTCAATGTTATATAGATAGAGAGGCTGACTCGGCTGAGAACGCTTTCCTTGTTAGATTTTGTAGTATGGAACAAAATACCAATCGTTTCTTGATACTGTAGGACTGAAATTATGTAGGTAGGAACTTTCGGTATACAAAACCATTGTAGAATAGGCTCTGAATTTTTTCCAAAAACTGGAAAACAAACTAAGGTTTTCACACATGCGATTTCACTACGTATATTTTACAAGTTTTTCGAGATTACACAATGGTGTCACATTACAACAAACATGGAAGAACAGTTACAAGGGTGTGGTGCAAGAGGAATATTATCAATTACCAGCAGCTGTTGTTAATGCACTATTTTGCCTCACAATGTGCGACCAGAATCGTGAAAATGAATGGATTTGAAATAGATGTCTTACTCAATAGCTTCTGCCCAGAGCCCGGTAAACAGTGCAGTTTGCTTCCTGATTGTGACTCATTTTTGTCTTCATCAACAGTCAAAACATATCTAATCCTCTTGTATGGACCGAAGTCTAAAAGAAAATGCTCTCGTTTTTTGCCTCTGATGGATAAAAATGACGGTAAAAGATGCGCAAGCTATTGACGGAAACCAGCTATCGTTCCTCTTGCTCGCCACTCTAGCTACAGTATAACTGAAGTAATTTGGATTAAGCATCAGTAAAGTGCAGAAAACATAGACGAAATTCGCGACTTTAGCTTAATGTGAAAGTTTTGGAACGTATGATTTTCTCCCTGACGCAAAATGTGGCTATCTGTGTTTTAGAACTCCTCTCGAGCTATTTCTGTAATTCCACAGTAGTGGAGTGATTAGTGTACTCCAGGCTCAAAATTTGAATCAAAGCCAGCTCCACAAATATCATTTGCCTGGCGAAAGGCGTCAAAACAAGAGGATTACAAACATATAGCGAGCAGATTTATTTGAAACCCTGTACATGGCAGAAGAAAAAACGTTCTGAAGGTTTTTTTATAGTTTTTGTCTCCATCGTCTTAAAATGTAACAAAACGGGAGCAAAGAAGAAAGCAGCAGAAAACATTAGCAAATGGAATGGAGACAGCTGTTATGAGTAGCATATAAGTCTGTTGAGCCTCTCGCATTCGTATCACGTGGAAGATACAAACGCCCTTTCCATAACAGCTGATATATAAAAAAGGCATAGGCAAGCTTTTGCTTCACTTTTATTACTTTTTTCAACAAGTTGGCACAGCTTTACTCTTTACTCGGTTTAAGTGCATGAGTATTTCCATTCACAATGCAGTATTACGTAGGAATCATGACGATTCTAGTCATGATGTCTCACTCAATCTTTTTTACTTGCCATATATTTTCTTCCCATATACCTAAGTGCAATCTTAATGCGTAGAGAAAATTCAAAGTAAAGCTTGTTAAGATACAGCATCATCGCAACTTATTAGTAGAAGTTCATGGACCTTCTACAACCGTTTTTGAACCTATTTTTAATATGAGACTTCCAAGACAACTTCTTGCTCAAGTACCGTTTTCTCTTACAGAATAAAAATATTTCTGTTTCTTAAGATTACATCAACATGTCACATTATCGCATTTACTAACTTTTTCAGCTGACAAACGCCTATTCATTAATGAACTGAGTTTATAAAACGGTCACTCATTATACAAATCAATTTTTTTTAGCACATTGCTGATTACCAAAATGACATCATTGCCCTACACAATCTTACTTCTCTGTATTGTATTATCAGGTGAGGATTTTTGTGCCTGCATAAACTTAAACGAAGCACATGTTGACGCACACACGAATCCGACTTCTCCAGCCATTTGTGCACGTACATACCAAAAAGCACTTTTTGAACAAGCTACTGCAATGTTTTCAAAAATGTACTGCTGCAAGGTCTTTTAGTTAACAGCAACGCAAACTCTGCCTTTTTGCTTTTCATGTAATTGTATATGACCGATTCATTACAGTAAATTTATTCATTTACAGCAATCCCAGTAGACGGTCTTATCTGCAGGCGTTCGTCTAAACGTGCGGTTTGTTACACTCGTTCAAAGTAATAAATTACTCATCGTTTAACATATGCCAAACTGAAGAGTGATTTTTTGAGGAAAATATCTTACACTGGAAGTTTATCAAACTGTGTAAAAGTGTGCAAGACCAAGAAAGTTCGAGGTACTAGAAAGGCGTGCAAAAAAGTGTGCAGAAAGTGTCAGAAAAAATGCGCACAGACGCCGATAAGACCTGAGAGGCCTGCCGAAAGAAGTTCGACGTTGACGAGCATTTTGACGACGACTCCAACAGTTATCACTGCGGAAACAACACCGACAACCGCGAAAACAACAACTTCACTAACCACAACAGAATCACCCACGCCCACGACGACTTCAACAACATCTTCAACAACAACAACGTCAACAACAACAACTTCAACAACTACACCATCAACTACAATAACAACAACAACTACTACTACTACCACCACTACTACGACAACTCCAAGTAAGTTGTGCATTCTTCGGAGTGTGATTATGAGTTGGCGCGCAAGTTACGTAATAGAAGGATTGCGCTTTATAGTAGATGCTCAAGCATGGCATTCTGTGGATTAGCCAACGAGAATAAAGCTTTCAAAAACGTCCTTATAAATTTGGCATTTTCAGATTGGTGCTAGAAAATTGTAGAGAACCGATAGCTAGCCCAAAAAATGTGTAAAAAGTTCTTACACGGCAAAAATCCATACTTACTTGGGCAGGCTTCAATCTTGCATAGAAGTGTAAAAGCAAAATAAAATTGAAGAAAGTGTCATTTTACAGGAAAGTTTCCCTTATAGCTGCGGTTTTCCCACTGTTTGGAACAAAGAGTCAAGTCTTGTGTCTATTTAGAACACAATGACGCTTTTGGCAGCGAAAACAGCGTTTTTGCTTAGAAAGTGCAGCAATGACGTAATTTTCTGTGTAGGAAGACAATTTTCAAAAAAGTTTGTAATGTAATATACAGAATTTAAGCTTGCTCAAGTGGCGCATAAACTTTTGCTGTGTAGGAAATTTTTGGGTCAGCTAGCGGATACCAAACTCAAAATCGTAAGTTTAAAACGCCATTTCTAAAAGGGTTGTTCTCGGTGGCTAACCCATAGATAGCTATGCTAAACATCTATTATGGAACGCAAACCCTCTACTAATTCTAGGAAATCGTACTGTAAACTTGATCTAGTACTTGAAAAACATTGATTTTCGTTTGAAATGTGCGAGAACTTCCACGCCAAATCCAATATATTACATTGGTGCAAAAAGTAATGCGCGCTTTTCTAGCTCTTTTCAAGACAATTTTATTCCATCAAACTTTCTTTTTTAGAAGAAACTTAGCAAACTATCAAGAAGCCCTCTTCATGCTTTATTCAATAATAGATAAAATGGGCTTCTGTTATCTTTTGTTGAAAATCTGCAGACTTCAAACAACCGCTATTAAAACCAGAACTTCAAAGCGCAAATAAGGGCATTCTATTGAAAAGCAGCTTCTGAATCTAATGGAAATTGTCTACATTATGTAAGCTTAGCCATATTTTCTGAGATCGCAAAGCTGAGATATCTTTACCTCAACATGGGTAGTCGTAGCATTCATTCCGCGGTCCGATTTGTAATGAAAAAAGGAATTGCCAAACTTCGCTCATTTCTGTAAGCGTAAGGGTAAGGACTTCCTTTTGGCAGTTTTTTGCAAAAATGTTTAGCACTTCAATACGCCGAAATTCAAAAAATTCCATAATTTGGGACTTTGGGGACTATAGAAAAATCTTAAAAGAAAAGTGACAACTTTGCTTTTTGAATTTTTCTTCCTGTAAATCTTTTTCGCCCAAGCCCTTACCAGCTTTGTTTGTACATAGACTTATGGCTACAAGGTGGGTTACATATCATTGACAAAACGAGGTTTCAGACTTGAACTCTTTTTGCTTATCATCCATATTTTTCTGCCCGTTGGAGATAATAGTATAGGGCGATGTGTATGTATTGCGAAAAGTTTGCTGCCTCTGACAGTCTTTATCGCTTTGGGAAATATAGATTTGCTAAGAAGTTATAGCACGTCAAATTGAAAACTCGGAAAACGCGCATTTTGCACCACCCTAATAGAATAGTACCGATTACATAATCAAATCTCTGGAAAGCCTTTAGGCCTTCAATGCAGTCTTCGACTCTTTACACACAAGTGTCGCGTTATTGTTTTGGAAGATTACCATAATATAAGGCTGGCAAGAAAATTTGTGGACACTTTCGCTAATCTACAAAGACAGTCTTTGTTCCTTAAAGGCAATGGATCGGCAAAACTTAACAACGCATGATTTCAACGCAGTAGGTTCCTTATCGCCCATGTATGAAAACAATGCAATCCCAGTTGCACAGCATGCCTTCCCTGCCGAGAAAACTGCTCTCAAAGTTGCACGCGCAAGCCAATCTTACACGAGTCCGGACGAGTTGGCAATTTCTCTTCACCATTGGAAGCTGCCCGCCAATGCTATAACCATTGGGTCCTGCAACGATTCAGCGTCAGCCTTGCTCCACTCGTCCAACTTCAAAAGGAAGGGCATTCAAAAACGCATGTTTTCGCCTTTTCAAGCTCTCTACAGTGGATTTTCGGGATCAGCGTATTGAATAACCCCAGGCAAGCAAAAATTTGACTACAGTCTGCTCCAATCGGGATCAGGCCGAACCGTCGGCGTAAATTTGCGCGCTCGCAACGCTAGCGGTCTGCGCTGCATGTGCGCGCTGTTGGAGAGAGCAAAAAGATTGAAGAGAGGGCAGAGAAGCAGGCCGTGGGCGTGACCGCGAAACCCTAGCGACGCGGTCTCCCGCCATGCCAATTTTGGCCTGGTTGGGATTGGAGCAGACTGTAGGTTGCGATTTGCCGAGCCACCGCCTTCAAAATTTGATGCATGTTAGGTTGTAAAGAAAGTTCCCGAGAGATTGTAAAGATTCTTCTTCAAATTGCTACAACTTCAAGTGAGTTGACCCGTTTGAAAGCAGTAGATTTCATTGCAAAGACAATGTTGTCTACAACATAGACTTAGTTCAATAGTGTTTCAGCGTGACGGAAGGCTTAAAATCACTTCCACAAAACATCATCATAAGAACTGTTACCAAGACACGACCGAATGCGAAAAAAAAACGTCAGAAAATCAAGTTGTTAGATGTGTTTGGGACTTCTTTACAACCTCAAAACAAAGATGAAAACGTGCACGTACTTTAGTGCGTATACCCGTACATGTGAAAAGATGAAAGCAGTTTGGCTAGGTAGTCCAAGTCGCAGAGGTCTGGAATCTGGAACGAAATGCTATCATAGATGCGCCTGTTCAGTAATTCCAAACCCAACTTCCGTATCTGCGAGCGACTTTTCATAATCAAAATCAAAATGGCATGCAATCAGTACCACACCTTAGAAAAATTACGAATTCGAGGTACTTCCATGTTTCCGGTGATTGTATGCATTTCTTGCAGTCAGCGTAAACATCACGAACGTATGCTTCAAAGTGTCCTTCAAACCACATTATGCCTCAATGACTTCTCACTTTCAACCGCGCGTAGCTTCTTTTACCGAATCGATTAGCAGATAATGGTAGTGGGCTTGAAATCAGCTCACAAAAATGCATCTAGATGTACGTGTCTCATTCCAACTCGCCACTGCGACTTAAAATCTTTCCTTATATTGTCAGGGATTTCGGGACTTTTAGTTACTACGTTTTGCGTAGACCAATGTGGCAGGAAAGCCCGTGTTCTTCAGTATCTTTGTCGATGACCTTTCGAATTTCGTAGAATTTTTTTTATTAGCTTTTGATAATCACTAACTAACGACGACAAACTATACCCGTTCGCAAATCAACTTATAGAGGTTGGATGTAACGACTCAACAATGCCACGATTCGTATAAGCGCCAATTTAGCAACAAATTTTTACACACAAAAAACCGTTTCCTGCGCATCTTTACCTGATTTGTGCAGTTATCTTTTTTTGTGCAATTTAAAGAATTTCGTCCAAATCATGGGTTATCTGATTGAGAAGCCTGTTAATCTGATCCGCAGCTGCACTTGAATTTTGCGATTTGCGCTCAGAAATTACAAGCTGTCGAAATTGCCTTTGACTGCAACTCTTTTCGCAGCTGACGTCGCTTCTGCGGGGATCGCCACACCTGGATAACGGGTCCAAAAGATGTGTAAGTAATTACCTCAACAATGTTTGCAGTAATCAAAGATTTGGTCCATCCTATGCAGAACGACAAAACTTCAAAGTCAATTACTCGAAAAATGGTGCATTTTAAAAAGCAAACTTCCTGGTTTTATTTTTTTGGAGGTGGTCCCTCAAAAGCTTGAAGGCACCGTCCACTCAGATTTTCTACTTCCGCGTTTTTTTCGTTTCAGGGCCTTCTCATGTCCCTGACTCCACCCAGACAGTCGAAGGGATATCTCCGGCGGGCATAAAGCGCGAGTCTGCCACTTCGCGCTCCAGAGCTCTGCCATTTCACGCATTTTTGTGCTCCGGGGCTCTCCCAAAAGTGGCGCACCTCAGGAACAGAGATTTGCGCTTCGCGAGAGGGGCCCCATTCATTCACCGTGACGTCACGGTGACGTCACAAACAGGACGAATGGGACCTCTCTCTGCGACGCGCAAATCTCTGCTCCGGAGGTGCACCACTTTTGGGAGAGCCCCGGAGCACAAAAATGCGTGAAATGGCAGGGCTCCGAAGCGCGAAGTGGCAATCCTCTGCTGGGGAAAGCCCGACCCTGCCACTTCTGCTCCGGGGGTATCCCATCGACTGTCTGAGCAAATATGATGTCGAGAATCCGCGAAAACCCAGACAATCCCCGTTCCGGAGGACCCACAGGCCGGCTTTCCGGAAAAGTGATTGGATGGGTGCGCACAAATGGCGGGCATGGACGGGGTCCTCGTGCATCTTCGCTATTCCGAAGCGATACGAAAAGCTCAACACCCTCAACTTAAGCTAAACGGTGCTTTTAAGTAGTCTCCATAACAGCCCCAGCAGACTTGTATAATTACAGCATCTGAATTCTCCAGCTTTCATCGTGCCTGAGATAATCCTGCGCAAATAGGCCACTCTTCACGACGACCTTTTTATCTTCTGTGCATGCCGGTGGACCGCAGTGAGGCGCTGAAAAGCCTGCAAGACAAGTATATGTTGTGGACAAAATTGTCTTTGCAATGAAGTCTGTAGCTTCAAAAAAGAATCAATCTGCTTGATGTTACAGCGATTTGAAAGAAATTTTTTTTCAAGTGCCTGGGAACTTTCTTTACGACCTAATAACAGATGCTCAGGCATAGTATTCTTTAGCCAACGAGAACAAAACTTCCAAAAATGTCTCAAATTTGGGATTTTGAATTTGGGAACGACGAGCCTCACAGACTTTGAGTTTTATTATATAGATTGAGTTCACTTTCCATCGCAAAGTTGATCAGAGCCAAAACGAAGATTTTAGCTTGAAGCAAATCAACAAATTCGAGTGCAAAACTGTAAAGCTCCATACAATCAAAGTTAGCCAAAAATGCTGAAAAGGATTTTGTAAAAAAGGACAAAGTAAATTTTTATTCTGTAAGATTTTCAATTTCAGCCACTACCACTCCTTCATCATTGGATTGCAGCAGTTACATCGTGTACGTTACCATTTTATTCTGTTCTCTGTTGCTAAACTCTCAAATGAATGGCTAGACAAAGGATTTTGTACACTTAGTTCTCTGATCAGTGTCGAGCAATACGTAGAGAATACGACTAAAGACGTGACTTTGCACCCGTCACTAATTAGCTATCGTAGGCATAACGGGAGTACTCATCTCGCAGGTGGAGTTTCGTTTTTTAAGTTGCCTGTCAAATGGTGACTGATCATCATTTTTCAGAGATATATGAGGCTTTTCTAAATATCAGGCAATTCAAACGAAATAGTCATTTTCAAAAATAATCTCCTATGCTTTGAAAATGAACTAAGCCGACTTTCTTCACTCGATACAAGAACTGCGCAGTTTTGTCCCATTTAAAAAGCTAAAGATTGATCAAAAGCTCGGTCAAAACTTCGTTTGTTGTGTTTTCACGCTCGTGGCTGTGCTTCAGCAAGTATAACCCAAAAGGTTATCAATCGCTTCTGTGAAAACTACGAGATCCGAGTTGATTATCCTTCTTATATATAAACTGGAAACATCCGACGAGACAGCGAAAACTACACATGGTTCACCCACTCCGACGCCCCCCTTCAGCGTTGCGGAGGGGGAGTTGTTGACTGTGTGAGCGCGCGAGACATCACAGCCTCTCGCAGAAGTTGCAGACGATGAGAAATCTAGAGGAGCGGTTTACTTTTATCCGCAGACAGGCCCGAGAGGAGAGGGGGGTGGAGGACATTAGGTCGCCGAATTTGGAAGAGTCCCGCGCGGATTCCCTGCAGGAACGCATGTCCGCGCATGTACAAGGGTGCGTATTTGTCGCAAATGACCGCGGGGACCGCCCTTTTTCGGCGACCTAATGTCCCCCACCCAGGAGAGGGTTGTCTCGACATTTGACTATTGATCGCACCCTACACCGGAATGCGATGACGGCACGTGTTTTGACTTTGCCTGCGATGACGAATTGTGATGAAATACCGTTGCTCGGTTTGATTACAACTTTCACAGCTGTAGCAATCTCTACTGTTTACATACACGTTTCCTCTTCTTTTCATGTCCTTACCTACGTTCCATCTTCATTCTAAAGATTCCCTTGCCCCCCCCCCTTCTTGCCATTTTGCATAATAGTTTGAAAATCTTAGCAATTTTCGCCACAGAAAATGCTTTTGCTCCCGGAATGAAGACCCAGAATGGAACTGTGGTCTCGTTGGTTGAGCTCCGGCACGCTTCTCTGGCTGAGCAGTTTTTGGATTGAAAAATATTGTTTTCCCCAACAATTCCCACGAAAAACGGTAGAAACCTCGATTTCCACGGAGTTTGCGCCACATTGTCCAGGACCTCCAACCACCTCAGCTTTTGCTTTCAAACCCTGGGACTTTTCCGCTATTGTTCAATTTTCAACGGCCAATCATTTTTGAGTCCTATATCTTGCCCTTGCTCCCGTAAAGAAGACCCAGCATGCATCTGCATTGGTGAGTCTTTTAGGAAAGCCATTATGTTGTTTTTAACTAGGCAAAAAAAAAAGAATCAAGTTGTATTATATAACTGGATTCTGCTGGGTGGTGGTATTTGGAAGGAAGGATTAGATATTTTTTTTGTGTCTACCTGCAAAGTTTGATTTTGCACTTATTTAGTTTTTCTAGAGAGGAAATGTGAACACCGTTTATAGCTAGATGCAGTCCCAACTAAGCAAATACTAATGTATCTGCCCCGACCCACTTACAGCGGCCCGTAGGGCCGCTAGTCTTATAAAGCTGAATGTCTGTTTGTATGTCTGTCTGTATGTCTGTATGGACGTATGTACGTATGTTCCGGATAGAATTTTTTATTTCTAAACCGATCCGGCCCAAACTTGGCACACATACATGTCGGGGCGGGGCGGGTGTCGTAAGCTGCTTTTCGTCATTGATCGATATCAATTTTATTGATTTTTTGAAGTTTGACCTGCGTGGCTGGGAGTTGGCACGGGAGGTAATCGATCATGCTAATTACGAATACAATATTAGTTTGTGAAGCTGTCCATTACTTTTACCATTTATCGATTTTTCTGCAAAGTTTGAGCTACGGGGCTGGGAGTTGGCACAGGAGGTAATCGAGCATGCTGATTACGAATACAATATTAGTTTCTGGAAATATCGACTAATTATATCGATTGGATTCTTTACAAAGTTTGAGCTGAAGGGCTGGAGTCGGCACAGGGGGTAAGCCAGCTAATGAATTATAGAAGTCATCCACTAATACGTGATTTGAACTATTAGGTTGTCAAGAAAATAATGTCGTTTTTTATTTGCTTGCTTTAACAAAGCAACCAGACTCAACCCAATTAAAGGTAATGGGTATTGTTCGATAGAGCAAAGCAAGCTCTACAAGATGGCGTCCATGATTTTGCGTCAAGCTCGATCCACGGATAGTTGATAGTTCGAACTCAAAATCTGAAGATTTAAATGCCCAAAAGATCGAAAAGATCAGATCTTCGTCCAAATAATTTCTACGGACCTCCCACTCGCACACGTCAATACTTTCGATATCTGATATCCATATGTGCAGCTGCTGTACTTTTTCCTTGACTAGAAACTGAGAAAACGAAAATTTTCGTGTTTTTTTAAAAGCAATGCTGAGCCGTTCTTGCATATGTGATTCTATATTGCAAGCCTAGGTAAGCATAACTATAGATTCTCAGCCTATTCCGAGCGGTAGTTTTTGAGGAATATCACTTTTAGCGGAGTTCATCTTCTACACGTCCCTCGACTGGTCGGTCATTTTGACCGTTCTTCCCCACCCCACCGGACGTCGAACCCCTTGATCCAGGAAGCCCCGGAACAGCAGGATCAAGTATGTTCCACCCCAACAACGACTGTTAACACATCAGAACATCCAACGTGAGACGCCTGCCAAACGAAGTCCAACTACATGAACTGCAAGAAGCCCTGGAGAGAACACGACTCGACATACTGGCCCTAACGAGATAGAGAGGCGAATTTCAGAAGAAGCTTGGCACTTGCAACTGGCAAAGAGTAAGATCACTCACGTTAAAAGAATAAATCAGTTTGTTTGGGCGCCGCGTATTGTAATAATATGAAAGGCAAATAAATCGTAAATCGTAAATCACTTTTAGCACTAAAACTGAAAAGAAAAAAGCTGATTTCGACATTTCTCGAAAACTACTGCTCGGAATGGGCTGAAAATCTATAGATATACTTAACTAAGCTTTAGTATAGAATCACATATGCAAGAACGGCTCAGCATTGCTTTTAGAAAAACAAGAAAATTTTCGTTCTCTCAGTTTCTAGTCAAGCAAAAAGTGCAGCAGCTGCACATATGGATATCAAATACCAAAAGTATTGACGTGTGCGAGTGGGAGGTCCGTAGAAATTATTTGGACGAAGATTTGATTTTTTTCGATTTTTGGGCATTTGGAAATCTTCAGATTTTGAGTTCGAACTATCCGTGGATCGAGCTTGGTGCAAAATCATAAGCGCCATCTTGTAGAGCTTGCTTTGCTCTATCGAACAATACCCATTATCTTTTATTGGGTTGAGTCTGGTTGCCTTGTTTAAGCAAGCAAATAAAAAACGACAATATTTTCTTGACAACCTAATATTACCTTTCACTGTGTGTTCGTTCTTGTATACGATTGACCACTTGCTGTTGTTCTTGACCACGAATTTCTTTACGGTTTATTGCGTCGTCGAATAACACAGAACAAATAATGAGGCGAAAATATATGAGGTCGAGGTTAATTGGCGTTAAGGGAAGACGATCTTCTGACGAACGAGTCGCGGACGCTGTCTGGATGTAAGTGAAGTTAACAAAGCCGGCCCTCGAACCGCACACGTGTTAACTTTGCAGCTGTGTCTTCGCGCAGCCGCGAGTTGCGCAGCTGCGATTTCTTTTCATGTCTTCTGATGACTTGCGATCAGAATTCAAATCGCGATTCTGCGATACACTGGTTTTTACGACTACTTCAGCTCGGGGATTTGGACTAAAGAGGAACCAAAAAGTAATACTACGTTCTGGGGAGGAATCGAAGAGTAATACTTTGTTCTGGGTGAGACTTAGCTCTTTTTCAAAGCAAGATATGTTTGATTCACTTAAATGATTCGACATTTCCAGCCTCAGCATCCGTTGACCCTTCGCACACGGGTTATCAAAAACAAAAATTGATTGGTAGAACTTTTTATCATTGTTACCGTGGGCATGCGGTGGTCAATATCCAGAACGTTCAGAATGTGCATAACTTTGCATGGTGGTTATCCCGCACGTTGACCCAGACATCATATGTATTCGTTACGTGTCCATTCAGTCAAACCCATCACGGACCATTGCTGTTCGATGCCTAAAATCACTGATCAATCTGGTCATTTTCTTTTAACAACTTTTATTTCTCCACTTTCACCACGACTCCCCCCCCCCCCTCCCCACCCTCCTCTTTTCCTTACTCAATCACGACGCTTCAAATGCGAGGTGCCACAATTCAGGCTTATTCCTATTTCTGACAGGACTTTAATTTGCATGCTTCAGGTTTTATAATTGGCAGTGCAAAGATGCCGATGAGAACAATCTATATTGCAAGGAGATAAAAGCAAAAATGGATTTCTGCCTTAAATTAATGGAAAAGAGAAGAAGAAAAAGAACATCACCGGCACCAAACACAACAACAAAAGCTCCAGGCTAGTTTTTCGAAATTTGAGCGAAAAGCTCAATTTGCTGGAGAAAAGCAGCAGTGTTTGGTATTGCTATAAGACCGAGCACTCAACAAAAAAGTTTTCCAGGTATGGTGTTTTGTTGATACCACATTAACAGCAACTGTTGTGGCAATACTAATCTAACTCAATTCATTGATGATTTTGAAGAGCAATACCGTCAAGTCATGTGCGTTGGCATTCCTACCAACTCATACGATTTTAGTATTGCTCTTCAGTACGTTACCGAGACACGAAAAAGATTGCGACAGCGCTTGAAATATTAGGATGGGCAAAATTACAGTGTGTTCCAAAAGTATGTGTGTTTGAAAGTTGATATGTCTATCTTCACAGAGCCTTTTGCCAGCTGTACAATTCTGTAAAGGTAGTTTCACCCTAGGTTTACATATGTGCGACTCATCGGTTCCATTCACTACTGTAAGATTACGGTAAAATCTTCAAGAAAGGTTGAGCCATTAATCATATTATGCTTTAGAAAGGAGACCAAACACATCCTAAAAGCGTTTTTATCAGACGTGAGGGCCGCTCTCCTTATTGCTAGATATGGAACTTGTACTTCACTGCAGTGCTTCGTTTATAAGTTATGCCAGATATAACAATGCAGCAGCTTATTTAGACTTTTTTTCCAAAAATTTGATTACATCATTTGAATATCGTACTATTATTATGATTATCAATACTCTATTTATTGAGCAAGAAAACTCTGAAAAGTTAGCTAGTGAAAACAGCATGCGCGAAAACATCACTTTATATCTTTTTCAGGCTTTTTTGGATTTTTTTGGAGTGGTCCAAAACACAATGAAAAGCAATTGGTAATTCACATTCACTCTATATCTGATTTGCGCTGTCGTTTGAGCAATGTTTGAAGGCAGCGGCTCGGCAGAATGACAACTTTGGAATCATCGTTCGCGACTCCTTTGGATGAGCTAAGTTTTAGACTGTGCTTTGCAGCGATAAAAGATATCGGTAACTGCTTTTCCAGACTTCAAAAGTGCTATTTGGGCGGATCGCGTATGTCTACCCTCTACAGAGGATTGGCTCGTGAGTGGAGACACCGTACCCATCTCGGCGGCAATTGGATTATTGGCTCCAGCAGCCACTTTCGCGATCCGCTCAAACAGCACTTTTCATGCCTGGAACTGCAAAGCACAGCCTTGGACTTAGCTCATCCAGAGTAGCCGAGGACATGAACTCAAAGTTGTTATTTTGTTGAGCCGCTGCCTTTGACTAGGACCCCTCGATAGTTTCCAGCAAGAAAACCATATGCCCATATTTGCCTGGACACTGCCTTTAAGCGCTGATTTCAAACCTGCATTCCATATCTGCGGAACGCTTCTCCGGGGATATGCGAGCCTAAAGTTTTATTTTGGACCTTTCATTAGAAAAAGAGAAGTCCAACAGAGTGAAGTGCTTGTTACTAGCTCTGCCAGAAATTTCTTTTTAGAAGTTAAATATGACAAAGACATTACGGTGTCTACAGATAATTTCGAGTGCGTATCGAACTTCACACATAGAATGCAAAAAGACACGCCTTCTACAATGTACCTTCGCGTATAACTCAACAAGCCAATTACTACATTAGTGCAGCATTCGTGTACATGCAGTTTCCCCGTTCATGTGAAGGCCCAAAATTGAGAGACTTCAAACTCTTTTCAGAGAAACGCTGCGCAGATGCGGAATGCAGATTTGGAATCATCGTTTAAAAGCACCCCAGACCATATGGATCTTACATTAAGGGCCGCATGCACTAACAACCCCGCTGGAGAGGGGATCGCAGCTCAGAAAAAAACTTCATATTCTGAAGCTCTAGATATCTAGATTTCACGCTGTCTACCTGTCCGCAAGTATTCCTACTATCCTTCACTATGAACATATTGAACAGGAGCGAGAAGCTGTACAAGCCGCATTTTCCAGCTTCTGTATGATCCCTGACGACCCCGGCGCTTCTCTTCAAAGTCATTTTTCTTTCTTTGAAGTTAACGAAAACCTTCCAAAGTTGTACCAATCATCTAACACAACAGTGCTAAGCATGTTACTGATAAGAACAAATGAGTTTTTGAAAAATCGATTTTTTCGATAAACCACAACTTTCGACTTGTGGTTCATCGCAAATTTCATGACTCCGATACATCACATGTTCTTATCAGCAACTTGCTAAGCGTGTTGGGTTAGATAATCTGCACAACTTTGGAAACTTTTCGTTAACTTTGGAGAAAGAAAGATGACTTTAAAGGAAAGCGCCGGTGATCATCAGGGATCATACAAATGCTGGAAACTGCGGCTTGTACAGCTTCTCGCTCCTGTTCAATATGTTCATAGTAAAGGATAGTAGGAATACTTGCGGACAGGTAGACAGCGTGAAATCTGGATATCTAAAGCTTCAGGATATGAAGCTTTCTTTTAAGCTGCGATCCCCTTCCCGCGGGGATGTTACTGCATGCGGCCCTGAATTTCTTTTCCATTGAAAGTGCTTCCCTAGTATTGAAGCCACCTACAGATAGTGGTAACCTATCAGGGTGCTCATAATTTGCAACCATTTTTACCCTAAATAACAGCATTTCTTGAGAATTGGAGCACCTGCGAAGGGTACAAGTATACACGATCGTGCTTCCGTATGTATGAGCTATATGACCACGTGCATGGGTGGAGCTAAGAATCTATAGGCTGTACCAACCGGGTGTATGTCGAAAGGCGTGCGTTCCCTAAGCCTTCATTTCCAGACTGGGTCAGTTCTCTGCAGAAGCAAGGTTTCCAGATTGCGAGATTTTTGTCAGTACATCAAAAAGTATAAGGAAGGATAACGAGTTGAAATCCGAAAGCATTGAAATAAATTTGAACTTATTTTTTGCTTCTCCCAGTTAGTAGAAATCGATCAATACGCGCCTTTCGACCGTCTCCCGTACCAACCAGCATTGGTCTTGCGACATCGCGCCTGCGGCATTTGCGACGATGCGATGTGACGCGCGCGAACTCTGCCACTCGTTAAAGTACGTCGCATGCAACGGCGCGTCGTCGCAAGGCATGCTTGCGCGGGACCGATGCCGGCTGATACAGCCTATAGGTGCCGAGTTTGCCATTTTACCCCATCTATTTTTTCTTTATTTCTAGCCATGAAAAAAAATTCGGAAACGGTACTTTGAATGTGCGATGTGTCAAGCTATGCTAGAATCAATGGGGTATTTTTCATATTTTTGGGGGCTGAGGTGTGATTTTTGACAGTAAAGTTCGTTTCCAACTACTATCAGATTTCAGCTTGAAACTTCTCATGGAATACAAATTGTGCAGAGTTTTGACAACCATCTTGTAGAGCCTTGCTTTGCACAACTGAAGTGCAGTTGTGCAAAAGCTATAAAAAGACAGCGGTTGTAGTAAAAACGGTAAATTATGAAGCACCCTGATAAAAATTAGCAAGGGCTTGTGAGAAGAAATATGGTAACGGCCAAACAGTGCGTGCGTAATTCTTGACATCCTACATTATACTCTAGACCGAATTCAATGATCATTTGATCATTCTGATATGGCACTCAAAGCAACGATATGAGAATCAGAACGCTCACTTCCATGATTTTCAATGAGTCAAGAGCTTACTTGTTGAATACATGTTGAATACTTGGGAAATTTCATTTTTGAATCCTATTCCAACGAATATTCGGACTTTTCGATTTTCGAGCATTAGTCAATAGTTGAGTATTTGACTGCCATTAATTTGATGATTCTTTCGACTAATCAATCGAAGAATACGGAATACGGAAAATTATTCAGGTAGTATCCCCTTCATAGCTCGCTGCTCTCTGGGGATCTGTGTTTTTCTTGTTTGACCACTTTTTGGAGGCCTTACTACACTAATATTGTAGCATAATGGATAGCAGCACTGTGCTGTATGAGCTGAGATTTTCGGTATTTTGTATGAACCCGAACGGAGTCCTCAGGGGATCATGGCTCACTTTCAAAGTCATTTATTTTTGCAAAAACTGAATAAAAACGTCGTAAAGTTGTGCTGAAGATTTATTATGACAGTGCTGAGCATGTTATTAGTAGCCCAAATGAATCGTGGAGGTTTTGATTCTTCATAAATCCCGACTCTTGAGCAGAGGTCCATCAAAGATTTGGCCAACTTGAGTTTTCACTTATTACTTCCACAAAAATGCACAGCACTGTCATAGTAGATTAGAGCATAACTTTACGAAAGTTTGCACTGAGTTTTTGCAAAGATTAAATCTTTTAAAATGAGCCTTGATTTGCTCAGATCTCCAAAGCAGCGAGCTATGAAGTGAACACTATCTGAAGGGAAACCTTTACCCGGACGAGCGTTGATACATACCGCCTCAAATGGCCATTTCAGATATAGCTGATTCGTTGACCGCACGTACTGGACATCACTGCGGTGCACGCGCTGCGAGGTGAAACGCTTCCCCCGTACAAATTAACAATTGTACAAGTCGTGCTCTCGCGGCAATTCAGCCGCTCCGCGTATGGTCCGCAGCGTTTGAGCAGTCCGTGCGGCAACGAATCCACGATAAGTTTTTTGAAACCTCAGGTGAGCATCGCGTGGGCAACTGCCCACCTAATTTGGAAAAAAAGTTAAGCACGCCCTTTATTCAAATAATTCGTCATAATTTTTTATACTTCTTCTTTATTCCGACGCGTGCAACAAAATTTTTGCCATATCGTTATTGAGCGTTGCAGACGAGCCGTTTTATCGTATTAGGTCATGGGAAATTTCCAGAATAAAGCTAGCCACAACCTTCGGTCACATAATTTTCCTACAATACTCTAATTATACACAATTTATACATTACATTATGCTCCTCCTAGTCCATGTCTGTTTATATATCAAATTCTTATATATCGTTTTGTGTGCATCGTTTTGTCGTATCGTTATGTGTGCCTTGTAACCGAGACACTCAGAGGCAGTGGCTCGGCAAATTTGAGTTAGACTAATTTTTTTGGGATTTGGCTAAAGGGCCTGCTTATTAAGCCATTGCTCAAGTCCCAGTCAATAAGGTTCCTTTTACGTTGAAAAAACTGCATTCAAATTCATGCGCATAGGGCGATCCTGTATGTGCCTGGACGACTTGCCGATTCGCACTTCGCGTCATAGCGTGTCCCACCAAGCGTCTTCCTCCTTCTTGACGTGTTTGAACCTGCGGCCAAAGCCTAACTTTGAGAATTAGCTCGTCCGCGCAGTTGATACGGAGCCTTTGAAAAAACGAGGTTTTTGAAATTCCATGCGAATCTAAATCGTCCAGAGTTTCATGGGATTGGAAAGGCTTGTAATCGCAAAAATTCCAAAAACTAGATTTTGGTGAGCTACTGCCTTTAATTACAACTCAATGAAAACAATTTGGATTGAGCGCGAGGCGAACTTGGATTTGGCGCAAGCAAGATCGTTTTTTTTGCTGTCGGTCGTGTAACAACTTGTCGAGAGTGTATGTACATGCAAACGTATATCTATGTTTTTTTTGCTTTCCATTCAAAACAATTTCCAACTTGACATTTGCCCACCTCGTTTTGCGCCCTGATCATCCCTATGAAAGTTGTGTTATGTTATGTCTAGTTGTGTCTAGTTATTGTTATGTTTTTAGTTTCTCATAGACAGCGATCCGGTAGACATTCAATATTCAATAATAATCGGAAGTCGATTATTACTTGGAAGTCGAATATTATTCGTATCTATTCCGATAAAAGAGTTCGAAAAAGATTTGAATTTCCTCAAATCTACTCTACATAAGGCAGTCAAATTTTCTGTAGCTTCGTGAACTATGCATAGCAGAGTGTTGGTCTGATTGGCACGTGATTGGATAAATATAGATAGAGAAACAGTTTTTGAAGTGTTTTCACTATGCGAATAAATTGACTTAATTTCCAAAATTTAATGTTTCAGAAAGACCTCGACGTCCTCCAAAGGATTGCCTGCCGCTATTGTAAGTTTTCAATAGTTTCGTTGTCTCAGCCTCGCTTTCAAACGCAGTGGCTTTTGATAGCATTTGAAAAGAGCAGACCCAGTATGGTAGTACAGCTTCTATACATTGCTGTTTTAAACTCAGTCTTGTTCTTGTGACAAATTGCGTGAGTATCCAAAAGATGCAACGTTTTGCAACCAAACCAGAATCCGAATGTGTCAGTTGGCATGAAGCAAAATCTTGACATGAAGTGTCGTACCCTTCGTCATTTCTTATAAAATGAAAAAGGCGTTTGCTTCAGCTCAATTTGAAGAATAATTTACTCAGCAGTCTCATCGAATAGCCTGTTTTCCTCGATTTCAAAGCGAAATTCTTCTAAGTTTCAGCATGACGAAGGCGTAACGCACTGTACTGTACTAGATGGCTTTCCAAAGCAGAGCTGCTTTGAAAAATTAGGGGCAAATAAAGCAACAACAATCTTTTCGCATAGCTGCACTTTTACGAGAAAAAACGTAGCCGTATTTTCAGTCCCTTTCGATTCACGTGTCGGAATCAGTCAAGAATGTCTCGAACTAGCTATTGCGAAAAAATCTCTGGTATGCTAGAAAGGTGCTTCGGCAAGGCGTAAATCCGATTTCCGGAAGAAAACAAAAAAGTTGTGTTCTGTTCTGAGAGCAGAGATAAAGAAAATATAATAAAACTTCATAATTTGTGATTGTTTGGAATTCAAACTTCAAGAGTAGTGCATGAGTGTTCGATGTTAAGAATATCAAGCCAAGTTTCTAAGTGCATATTCGGAGAATGTCGTGCATATTGTGTAAACTTTGAGATAACAATAGTAGAACTCTGAACCAATGAACTTCCACAAAGACGCCAGCTTTTTGAACGCAGTATCCGTACAATGGGGATATCTGCGACTTTAGCTCCATGTGAAAGTGAACCCTCGGACACACCCTTGCACAGGTGCGAAAGCATAGACGTTGAAACAGAAGCGAAAACTTGCTTGACAGGATGACTTACACCCCCAGCGGGAAAATCTCGTCCATCTGCAGATTTCCAGCTCTGCAGCAAAGTGGCATACCGCCACAGTTAAAATCGTTGATCTCACGGCAACTTTTCGTCTCATTCTTGGCGCGAACTGTTTCACTCGTCCAAATATGAAGCTTAAGACAATGGAGAAAGCCTTTTTTTTGTTGATGCTTCTTAGGAAAGCACATCTTCAGAGTAGCGAGTAAACGTCAAGCGAGAAAGCTTGTTACTGAATTTTCGCTCGAACACTGACTCTGAAGGCGTCTACCTGTGCTTTCGTTTACTAGGCTTTCATCATTCTTGGACTTGGTTCCGATTTCGAATATAAGGTGCAATTTACGTTGAAAAAAAAACCCTTTTGGGAACTTTAATTGAATAAGAGTGGGCAAGTATTTCACCGCTTTTCTTTGTACACAACCAAATTGTCGTCGTATACAACACGACGCAGTTAGACAGCGTGCAACTTGGCTGTGCTCTCTAAGCAAACGCTTTACTTCTAAGGCCTGGTTATAGGCCACATAGTACTAGGAAGCATGATTTAAGTGGACACTGTCTATAAAGGCAGTGTCCCGGCACATTCGCGTTTGGGGAATATAGCTGTGGTAGAGGTTCCTAATCACCCCATTAACTTTTAGGCCCAGTCCGGCTGGTTGTTGTCCCCCGCGTCGAGAAGATAGCCCTCAAATCGGCGTGCGCTCGGATGGCTTCGCTTATCTGTTCGGCGCGGGATCCCACGACCGCTTCCGTATTATACACGCAATCCAAAGCAAAAATTACATATAACGGTCTTCAGGCCAGGGCCTCTCAACTTTCATATATAACCCTCGTCCGAGCTGCCTTCTGAAAATTGCGTAAATCCCCAAAAACGGTCTTTTCACCCTCTTCAAAGCTCAAGTTCGGTTTTTACATGTCGAAATGGCCCTAAAACATGCAAAAGACGGAAATTCAAAATTTGCCGGGACACTTCCTTGAAGCGTGCATTTACCATTCACTACGCGCAAAGGCAACAACAAAAACTTTGCTTATTAGTGGGCAACCAATCCAAACCAAGCTTCGCACAATTCGGGGCGAGATGGGTGTCATGGAGATTACTTTCCGACGATCGGTACCAATTTTGTCGATTTTTTGCAAAGCTTGAGCCATGAGGATAGGAGCTGGCACGGGGGGGGGAGGGTAGTGCATTTGATTTCGCCTGTGAAGATACGCATTGCTTTTATCGATTTTATCGATTCTTGGCAAGTTTCGCTACTGGGTTGGGACTTGACACAGGGGATAAGTGAGCATGCTGACCACGACTGTTTTAGCTATCTGGATGATTTGTTATATTCATCGGCACTATTGATTTGTATAAGCTTTGAGCTACGAGACCGCAAGTTGGCACAAGGGTGGCATGGTAGGGAAAAAAAATGGGAGCAGGGAACTGGCATATACATAGAAGTGGAACAGAGACAGAGAAATGTTGCTTAGAAAAGAGAACAATGAGCTTTACTATAAGGTTTTGACAGGGCTGTGCGGAGGGGGTATTTCAGTCAGTTTTTGGTAAAAGAAATAAGCATGCCACAAAAAATATTTTTTGCAGCTTGCCGTTGCCAAGTAGGCAAATATGTAAGTGATCGCTTTCAAACGGTCTGTCAGTGTGGTGTGTATGGGAAAAGTGGAGAGGCTTGCCCACCTCACTTATAAGGGAAAGATAGCACTTGTCGCACATTGAAAAGAGATGTATACCATTAGACTCTAATTCTTAGTCCATTTCGCTTTTATGCAGAACACTCCGGAAGAAGTATGAACGCTTGAAAGCCCAAATTTGTCAAGCCTAAAGGGGCATAAAATCAGCGAAAAGCTGGGCAAAGTTATTTGAAAGTAGGTGGTCACTTTTGTATCAAATATAATAACCACTAGTTTTTATAAGCTCTTTGTCAATGCGCGTGCATGAACTTTTTTCCATAACCCTCTCATTAAAATCTCAAACTCGAGTTTACACTTATAGCGAAACGAATCCTAGTAAAGTATCTTGATGTGTAAAAATAATTATAAAGGATAAAAGGTTCTCCGTCTTTAACACCTATTGCAGCACGCACCAAACGCACTCTAACACAGTCGAAAAGGCTTTTGAATTTGCATGAGGCTATTGCAATGACTTGCGGCTGCCAGCCGGTTACCAAATCATTCTTATCCTCCCAGAGTACTGCAGTACCAATTTACCGTCTCTCCGCCCAGGGCAAGGTAGAAATTTATCCGACCGGTCACAGCGGTGCCACCACTACCCCACTCGTCCCTAAATGGAAAGAAGATACAAGTTTGTCTTATACTAGCTGTCATTCCCCCTCTCTACCAAGACTTTAATTGACTAACACTAACAAAACGTGTGCACTTACGTTTCTAAAACTCTTTGTGATATGTGCGAGAAGCGCTTCGAGACGCAGCTTTTGACCTTGAGATTTACATGGACTTTCCTCTAGTGCTCACATGATTATGGGAAAATGATTGGTTGGAGGATAATAGATTAATGCATTAACGCATGTTTCTTATCGAGCAAAGCTCTACAAGACCGTAATTCAACAATCGCAAAAGATTCAATCAACGTAAAGTTTGCTGAAAAAATCCAATTCGCCCATGCAGATCCTGCGCACTCCCAATTTAATCAAGCATATACTGTACGTAGAGAAAATTCATATGTACGCTTGCCGTATTTTCTTCGTTACTAGAAATTGAAAATAAAAACAGGCCAGAAATGGAAATTATTGCCTTTTCGGGTTTTCATATTATCGACATTGGGTCGTCTTGAAGTAAAGCATTTTTGCTTTTTCTGAACAGGCGCCGTAGCCGCAAAACAACGGTTTAAACACCGTACCGGAATCTACATGCAGCCCACTGCATATAGAAAAGTACTGTGCAGCTTTCAATATACATACTACCACAAATGTGTACTGTATTTCGATAACCAACTCCAAATCTCAATCAAAATTTTCTCCAAGCTTGGCATAATAATACGTTCAAGTTTAGCAGTTTTTTGCGTTGGTACCATCGTTAGTAGTAGAGGTAGGGGCAGGACGCTTGCTTGCACCTCGTACTACGACGGAACTGTCTATTGCAATTTCTACGTCTCTTCTATTATCTCCTCCGCGATATGGAATACTTAGCAACGCCCTCTTCGAGTGTATAATACTGCAAAAGTATTGGATTTATTCTAACGTAGACATAATAGGCATAACTGTTTTTCTACCTTCAAACGCATAGCTCTTTTACATACCAGAACGAACATCACTGGATATTTTGGATCAACTCTACGGCGCTGGTTCATTTCGGCTATAATCAACCTCTTTAGAGCACAAGCGAGGCCGTAATCGTTACGTTCACTTTGGGTCAGTACACGACTAATTGAAATCCATTTCTCTGCATAAGTTAGTCATTATTTTTTCTAACATATAAAATTACTCCTTCTTGTTTCTATAAGAAACATAATGTCAATTCTATTAACTGCTGTACTAACCTTTCGGCAGTTTTTGATTGAATGCAACAACATTCTTTTGTAAGAGGGCCGACATTAAGTAGTCATAGTGACGTTTACATACAAAGAACTGCAAGCCACAATATCTGTAACTGTGAAACTCATATCTTATATATGAAGCTGAATATCTGTCTGTGTTTATGCATGTGTGGAATAAAAATTTTTATTTCTGAACTGATTCGGACCAAACTTGGTACACATACACTTCGGGGCCGGGCGGGTAGTCATAGGGACTTTTCGTTATCGATCGACATCGATTTGATCGATTTTATCAATTTTTTGCAAGGTTCGACCTACGTTGGGAGTTGGCACATGGTGATTACGAATACAATATCAGTTTTTGGCATTACCTATTAAAAAAAGTAATACTTTTATCGATTTTATCGATTTTTTCAAAATTTGAGTTGAAGTGCTGGGAGCTGGCACAGGGGGATAAGTGGGCATGCTGATTTCGTAAACAACACAGTGAACGGGAAATGAAGTGTAGAAGTGGACACAGGGAAAGGCTGTACAGGGATAGGGCCTTTATTACAGTGTTTTGACAGGGTCGAGCGAAGCCGGGTAAGCAAGCTAGTTAGAACATAAAGTTACAGCCATATTGCACAGCAGGTGCTGCCATTTACATGTAATATGTCAGCAGAGTAAATCTCGCTTAGCGTCGAACATTGGCTTGCTGTAGTCCGACTGGCACTGGTAGCTGTTGGAGGGTCTGCCCGAAAGAGGCATAATTATCACCTAAATACTTGATCAACAGAGAGGTTAAAATTTTTTACTTACCATGGGCCATTTGATACGGCTCATACGTTCCATTTCTTTCCAGCAAATCTTGCTTCTTGTTCAGTTGGTCTATAGCAATCCTTAAAGCCAAGAGGGCGGTAGACAAAGGTGCACCAACATCGGCTTCCGGTGATAATATAAAACTTAGAGCGGAATATACAGTACTGGGAATTTCAGACATTTGCTGAGTATGAACTCAACCTGCTTTCATAGTAATGCTATTATGGTAATGCTTCCCGCCTAAACTCCGGTGCGAGGCAGACATTGAGCTATTTAACTTCATCATTACAGAGAAGTCTCATTTTGTTAGCTTCGATGTATTAGGTTGTCCGGAAATTGATGCAGGTTTTGAATTTCAACCGCAATAAGTTGTACACTTTTCATTTACAAGTAGGTTGCAAAACAATATTACATAGAGCAAAGCAAGCTCTACAAGATGGCCGTTTTGCTTTTGCAACAGCTCTCATCCACCTCGAGTTTCGAGCCAAAAACTAAAAAGACTCAGCAGCCCGAAAAATCAAAAAAATTGTAATTCAGTTCATAAAAATCCTACAAAAATTCTTACTTGCTCACATAAACACTATCCACATAAGACATCTATATACGCCTTTGCCGTATTTTTTCCCTCTGCTAGAAATCAAGAAAACGGAAATTTTCGTGCATTTGCCAAAGTGATGCTGCGCCGTCTGCACATAGGTAGTTGTATACTACAAACATGTAGAAGTATGAACGTAAATTCTCAGCTCTCTACAAGCTTCAGTTCTCGAGAAATACCGAATATATTAGGTCGTTCCGAAACTAATGTCGCTTTTTTCAAGTGAACGCTACATTTCGTGGAAGCAAGGTTTCTAGGAGTTCTTGGTATCATTCGATGCATCATTTCATCCTCTTTCTAATGGCTATAATTTCACTGCAGAATACTCAATGAGCTTTTGAAAAATTACCAAAATCTCCAACCCATGCTTTTTGGGAAGGTCAAGTTTCACAATTTTTCAAAATTTTTGTAATAATTCGCGGAAGGAGTTCAAGTAATGGATGGATAGAGCAAACCCTATAGGAAACGGTACCATTTTTTTCTGCTTTCCGTATCTCGTCATAATTTTTGTAGAGATTTTTCAATGAAGTCATCGAATTTTTGCCGGCTTGTCTCAAATACATATGCATCAAACACCAATAAACTTTCGGATTCTGAAACTTACAAAGATGGATTATGGTTTAACACTAATTTTACAAAGCATATGAGCATTTACCGCTTCAGATTAGCAACTTTCGGAAATTTTGGGTACAGCCTGGGGCGAAATGGAAAACCTGAATTATGATGATTTTATCCCGGCAAACTATATGAATCGGAAACCAAAAACAATTGGTAAAAAGAGGAGAAAAAGCTGCGTCGAATGACACCCGAGTTGCTTGCCGGTTGTTGTTCTGTGAGGTTTGAGTTGACCAAATCTGAAATTTGATAGCACTGAAAAACTGATTCCAGAACCTCTAAGAAGCAAGCTAAGGAAAAGAAAAAAACTGTTTTGTGGCCTATAGGGTTTGCTCTATTTATCCGTTACTTGTACATCTTCGGGGAACCAGTACAAAAATATAGAAAAATAGCCGAACTTGACCATGACAAAAAGCATGAGTCGCAGCTTTTGGTAATTTTTTGAGAGCTCATTGAATATTATGCAATTTGATTACAACCACTAGAAAGAGGACAAAATTCTGCATCGACTGATCCCAAGAGCTCTTGAAAATCTTGGTTCCACGAAATGTGGCGTTCATTTGAAAAATGCGACATTACTTTCGGAACGACCTAATAGCTTTCCCTAATTAGGTGGTCCGAGCTAAAATTCAAACTTCTCGAGAACTAAAGCTTGTAGAGAGCTGAGAATTTACGTTCATACTTCTACATGTTTGTAGCATACAACTACTTATGTGGGAACGGCACAGCACCACTTTGACAAATGCGCGAAAATTTCCATTTCCTTGATTTCTAACAGAGAAAAAAGTGCGGCAACGGCGTATATAGATGTCTTATGTGGATGGTATTCAAGTGAGCAGGCTAGAATTTTTGTAAGATTTTTATGAACTAAGTTACGATTTCTCTCTATTTTTCAAGCAATTGAATCTTTTTAGTCTTTGGCTCGAAACTCGGGGTGGATCAGAGCTGTTACTGAAGCAAGACGGCCATCTTGTAGAGCTTGCTTTGTTCTATGAATATTGTTTTGCAACCTACTTAGAAATGAAAAGTGTACGACTTATTCCTTTTGGAATTCAAAACCTGCATTAATTTCCGGACAACCTAATACCATCCCCCTGCAATTAGAGTAAAAGCATAAGACTTTCTGATGGGTAACATCTTATGTTTGATTTCCTTGTAGAAATACGTTACAGGACTCTCTGAATTTTACCTCATCATCTTTGAGCATGTCCCGCCTAAATTAATGCGCTAAAGAGATTTTGATCTATCTAGGTCGCTGTCGCTAGTCTGTGTGCTACGGAGGTTATAATTGATTCTTTTGCTATCTGATTCATTTTGTTAGTTACGCATATTTATCCAATAAATATGCACTTGTTTATTGATTCAATTCTAAATTTATTTAACAGAAGATACATTTGCTTTGGGAAAATTAAAAACCGAACATTTCCTAAACACATTGTGATACACATCTTTGCAAGGTTCCAAATTCGCATTTCACACTTCTGTTACACCACTTCCCACCATTATTGCTACTATATATATTCCAGTGACTAATATGAATATGATTAGAAAAGCTCATCCATAAAACATGAACACGAAAGACCGGCAACATTAAAGCTCATATACACAGCGAGGTCCCTTGTTCCAGTAGATAATCGGCTTCATATTGATACACCTTTTACAATAAAGAAGCCTGAAAGTACTCAACAAAAAGTGGCTGTAACATATCTACTTAGAATATAGAAACATAACATAACATAACGGCTTTACACTGTCCAACTTGAGTAGACTGATAACCCCTTTTTCTGAAGTTTCGGATTTCTGAGCCCGCAAAAATTTTAGGGAGCATACCAAAAAAATTTTCGGAGTGCGTGGCTGACGCCACGCACCTTCATCGGAAAATTTTTTTGTCCCCCCCCCCCCAAGCCGAAATCTTGGGTACGCCACTGTTACATAGTAGCAATTAGTCAACCGCTGTGCTCAAAGATACAAAGTTGAATGACACAGCATTATATTGTTCCTTAGAATCCTGGCGTGGTGTTGGGCATAAATTTTCCAATGCAGTCTGCACCACGGGTAACGCTCCCTAGCGATGAAGAGGTTTGCCCTAACCTAGGAGGAAATACCCTCCGATAAGAAAACTGCATAAGAGTCCAGGAAAGACCGCCTCTGACTCAATGGATCGAAGACCTGAAAAAAAAATAGGCTTTACACTGTCCAACTTGAGTAGACTGATAACCCCTTTTTCTGAAGTTTCGGATTTCTGAGCCCGCAAAAATTTTAGGGAGCATACCAAAAAAATTTTCGGAGTGCGTGGCTGACGCCACGCACCTTCATCGGAAAATTTTTTTGTCCCCCCCCCCCCCCAAGCCGAAATCTTGGGTACGCCACTGTTACATAGTAGCAATTAGTCAACCGCTGTGCTCAAAGATACAAAGTTGAATGACACAGCATTATATTGTTCCTTAGAATCCTGGCGTGGTGTTGGGCATAAATTTTCCAATGCAGTCTGCACCACGGGTAACGCTCCCTAGCGATGAAGAGGTTTGCCCTAACCTAGGAGGAAATACCCTCCGATAAGAAAACTGCATAAGAGTCCAGGAAAGACCGCCTCTGACTCAATGGATCGAAGACCTGAAAACAAAATAGGCTTTACACTGTCCAACTTGAGTAGACTGATAACCCCTTTTTCTGAAGTTTCGGATTTCTGAGCCCGCAAAAATTTTAGGGAGCATACCAAAAAAATTTTCGGAGTGCGTGGCTGACGCCACGCACCTTCATCGGAAAATTTTTTTGTCCCCCCCCCCCCCAAGCCGAAATCTTGGGTACGCCACTGTTACATAGTAGCAATTAGTCAACCGCTGTGCTCAAAGATACAAAGTTGAATGACACAGCATTATATTGTTCCTTAGAATCCTGGCGTGGTGTTGGGCATAAATTTTCCAATGCAGTCTGCACCACGGGTAACGCTCCCTAGCGATGAAGAGGTTTGCCCTAACCTAGGAGGAAATACCCTCCGATAAGAAAACTGCATAAGAGTCCAGGAAAGACCGCCTCTGACTCAATGGATCGAAGACCTGAAAACAATCTCATACAGCTCAATGAATGTTTAGTGTTCTTCGTATCAGATAACCATAACAGAAACAACCGGTTGAGAATGGTGACGACCCCAGATCTAACGATAGAACGGGAATCAGGTCCAAAAGAAAAAAGTGCCACATATGTGACAAAATGCTGTTCACCGCTCATTCGCGAAACTTAACACGCATTTCTCGTTTAGAACAAACAAACCTAACATGTCCAGTTGTGATTGAAAGAAACGTTACTTACATGATAACTTGTCTTGCATGGAAACTTCTGTATGTCGGAGAAACAACGCAAACACTGAGAGCCAAAATAAATCAACATCAAAGTAGGTTCAAAAAGCATAACGTATCAATGATACAGGACATGATCCTGAGCACATTAATGTTGAAATATTGGACCACGCAACTGGAGAGGACAATATCAAGAAAGTTTTGAGCGAAAAGGAATTGAAATGGATCCAATACATGGCCACCGCTTATCCCTTTGGGTTCAATGATCAGATTTGAGGCTTTGGAAACATCTTGGACATAATACTTTAGAACAGAAAGACCATCCTTACTTCAGATTGTAAGGTGAAAAGGTTAAGGAAGAAAGGTAATGAAAGAAGATCAAAGAAAAGGGGCATATGTTTTGACAAAACAAATGAAGTTGTAACGAACATCAATCAATTACAAGTTAATTTGCCATGTACTTATTTCAGAACACTCAATAAGGAAGACATCACTACATTATTCAACTTTACATTCACCCCGGAGCATACCTTCGATAGTCAAGAGACAGAGGCTAGAAAGTGATAGTTGTTTGAGTTCTTGCCCCCTGTAAAAAGTGAAGGTTGTTCCAGAAAAATAGACGAAAATTTAGAGATACAAATCAAATTAGAAAACTTAGAAAATTCATATAAAGCA